TCACTCACACTGTTATCTTTGATTTAACGTTTGGGTGATAAAATCGAAGTATTTCAAAAATTGAGTGATCAAATTATTTTTTAAAAATTTAATGGCCAAACTAAAACTATTTTCAAAATTAAACGATAATATTTATAATTTAACTTATAAGTATTAAAAATGATGTTAATAAGATAATTGGGTAAACTGCATAAATGGTCACTAATATTTGAGTAAGTTTTTGTTTTCCACATTGAAGTTTCAAAAATTATAAATTGATCACCAATGTTATTGATTTGTAACAAGGATGTCACTTTACTGTCAGCTCCGTTAAATAGATGACGTGACAATATTAACAAAAAGGTTAATATTTAATTTTACCTCTAAACTATTGCTAAAACATCAAATAGGTCATTGAACAATAATTATATATCTAATTTACCCCAAAATTTTCTAATTTGAAAATATTGGAGGAGGAGTTGTTCTCGTTGACGGTAGGAAAGTTTTGTTTTGTTTTCTTCCACCTCTCTTGCAGTTTTTTTAGTTTCCTGTTCTCTCTCTTCAGTTCTTTTCTTTAAGTTGTATGGTGTGTTCTTCATATTAGTTTCCAAGAGTTCAAAGTCAAACTACTGGACCTGGCTTGGTGGAAAAAATTGTTGTTTCAAATAAATCAGTTGCAAAAGTGTATTTGAGGAGGTCACCACGTAATGCAATTCAAACAACTGATGATGTTGCAGAAACTCCAACAAATGGTGGCCCTTCCCGAACAAAGACAAGTCAATACAAATACTACTTTGGGAGAATTGAATCTTTCGAGGAGAAGCTAGGGGAAGTCCAAGAAGCACTGGGGATAGATCCTCATATCATTTTCTTGTAACCTACACTCTTAATCATAGGGTCCTTATGGTTTATGGGGAGAAAGGGGTCGTGGATATTCAATATGGGCAAGGCTCATATTACCGAAATGAACAAGAATGCAAAAAACAAGGTAAATCTTCATTAAAAATTTTCTTTTGAATTATATATTGTTCTTCTCATACTCATATACAAAATGTGTTAAACGGTCAACATTGTGAGAATTCTAGCAATGGTTTACTTGCTATCTCAGATATTTTTTTAAAGATGTTGCTGGTTGTGATGAGGCAAAGCAAAAAATTCTGAAGTTTGTGTACTTCTTAAAGAACCCAAAGAAATATGAGAAATTAGGAGCTAAAATCCCAAAGATGCTCTTCTTGTTGGTCCTCTTGTCACGGGGAAGACAGTCGAGCAAAAGTAACTGCTGGTAAATCTGGTGCACCTTTTCTTTCTATGTCTGCGTCAGATTTTATGGAAATGTTAATTTGTTGGAGTTGGGCTATCAAGAGTGAGAAGCTTATTTCATGAGGCAAGACAATGTGCTCCTAGTATCCATTTTATTGATGCAATAGGTAGAGCAAGGGACCCTGCAAATCTTAAACTTCCCCGGCGTTGGGAACAGCTCCTCCTCCAAGCACGACATTGTCGTACTATTTTCAAATTAGGGAGTTTTAGGGGTAGTTTAGATATAACATCAATGTTCAAGGACCTATTTGATGTTTTAATAATAATTTAGGAGTAAAACTAAATATTAACCTTTTTGTTAACACTGTCACGTCATCAATTTAACGAAGTTGACCGTTGTGTTGTTACAAATAGATAACATTAGTGATCAATTTGCAACTTTTGAATCCTTAATGGGGAAAACGAAAACTTACTCAAACATTAGTGATCACTTGTGTAATTTATTGGAAGAGAATTATATCTTTTGTTTGATAGTTCTTTTCTCTTCGAATCCAAATGTGATGGACATATACTTAATTATGAGTGAGAGTCTAAAAAGAAAATGATTTAATAAAGTTGACCATTCTGTGGCGTACCATACTCACAATAAACATTACTTTTGCTTGCTCATAATCTCATATGTAAACAGATTTCCTTTTTCAATCCACACCCATAGAAGCTTGTCTGATTTTGCTTAGCTTTTGTCTCATGGTTGTCTATGCACTTCCCATACAGGATTAGAGCCAAATAAATGAATGATGGCTAACAATGGTATTTTACTTGTTGAAATTACGTCATTGCTATTTACTTGAGCGTAGAAAGCTGCTTAAGATTATTCAACATCACGAGACATTTCAAAGCAAACCTTTCTTTACGTTCCTTTGAATAAAAATAAATCAGATGATTTAGATCCCAAAGTTTATGGTTGGGAAAACAGCTAGCAAATATATATGTAAATAACCTTAACATAAAGCTACGGGATTCAGTCAACTCAGCCGTGAAGACTTAGTTCATGCTTCGAAGAAATTCACCAATTAAAATCTTCTCTAAGTCGTCTCCTTTTGTTGCCTGGGCATCTCTTTCCTTTGTTAATTTCTCAAGTTTGAAGATAAAATAGAAACCCATTGTTTTTCTGATATGGTGGTGAATGATGATTCATTTGTGATTTCGTTTTCATTAATTCATTGAGAATGGTTGCTTCTATGTTTAGTCTAGTGCTGTTTCTGCAATTATCAAGATTCTTCTCTTCATCCATGGGAGTTAAGTACAAGATTTGTGGTGATGATCACATAGTCTTTTCAACTTCATATGGTGATGAATTGTTTTATTTAAACGGCAATTTAGTAGATAAAGTTTTCTTCTGCAAGACCATACAGTTGCACCATGCAGATCAGTGTGTGTTTGAAGGCTACAACCGCAACTAATTACTGTGGTTCGGACCTATTGTCCGGTAACGATCGTATTGAAACTTAAAAAGGTGTTTCCTAGAGTCTTTATCAATGGATTATGGCTTTGACAGTTGATATGTGTTTGTAGGAGGAAGGCGGTTATTGAGAAGACGGAGATAGGAAATGATAGAAATGATCATAACTCAAACCAGAAGCTTACCAAAGAATATCCAGACTTGACGATAATAATGATGGTAGCAGCCGGAGTTCTTCTGACATGTTGTATTTGTTGTTGCTGCTGTGTTTTTGGAGAAGGAGAGCAAACGCCCACACTTCTGTTACAGAGGATTCAAGTTCAGGTGAGCCTTAACTTTACCTAAGCTTTTATTTGGTCAAATTAAAGCGTATTAAAACAATACAAGTTCTTACAAAGTATCCACACTGTTTGTATCTGTTCTTGCATTGGTTTTAGCTTCCCCTTTGGAAATGATTATCCATTCTCTACGGGAAACGATTCCGAACACCCTACTAAGGGTACCACACAATCCTTCCCTATTACCGATGTCTCCGAAACTTGGAAGAATCGGATCAGTGCATCTGAATATGACAGAGGTGGGCAGAGCTACCTGTAATTTCTCACCGGAACTTCGGATAGGTGAAGGAGGGTTCGGAACTGTTTACAAGGCCCAGCTAGATTCTGGTCAGTTCGTTGCAATTAAAAGAGCAAAGAAGGTGAGTAAATATGGCCATGAGCATGGATATACTATTTCTGCAACAGTGATTGTTTCATATTGGTACTTGGTTGACATAAAGACTATTGCGCAGGAACATCTACAAAAGCTGCAAACTGAGTTCAGCAGTGAAGTTGAACTTTTAACCAATATAGATCATCGGAACCTCGTGAATCTACTTGGTTATGTCGAACTGGAGATGAACGGCTTATTATTACAGAATATGTACCCAATGGCACACTCCGAGATCATTTGGATGGTAATGAGACCTCTTGACCATAATAACTGCCCAAGTTTTAGATCAACAATAGCTTAAATAGTTTTTCTCTGCAACTCATGGCAGGTCAGCGTGGCAAGATTTTGGATTTCAATCAGCGTCTTGAAATCGCCATTGATGTTGCTCATGGCCTTACTTATCTCCATCTCTATGCAGGTGAGAAAATAGATAAATAGTTAGATGAAACAATGACTAATTGAATCATTTGGATGATGAATTAGGGAAGCAAATCATTCACCGAGACGTGAAGTCATCCAACATACTTTTGACAGAAAGCATGCGAGCTAAAGTGGCTGATTTTGGATTTGCAAGAGTTGGTCCGGGCGACTACGACCAAACACATATTTCAACCAAACTGAAAGGAACTGTCGGCTACCTTGATCCCGAGTACATGAAAACCTATCATCTCACGGCCAAGAGCGATGTGTATTCGTTCGGGGTTGTACTTTTAGAAATTCTGACAGGCCGCCGCCCGGTGGAATTAAAAAGACCCTACCCGGACCGTGTCACACTTATATGGGTGGCCCTTTCTTCTCTTCAAAACTATTAAAAAAATACAGTTTTTGGATGATACCTTATGGTTTTCAAATGGCGTACAGGCATTCCGTATGTATAATGAAGGGCACATAGTTGAATTGGTGGATGGCATGATGGAAGAAGAGGTAGATGCTGAGATATTAATGAAGATATTTGCATTGGCATTTCAATGTGCAGCGCCCACAAGAAATGATCGGCCCCAAATGAAATCCGTGGCAGAACAGTTGTGGGCGATCAGGGCAGACTATCTCAAGACTGCAAGGAGAGGGTACACCATGCACGAGAGAGAGTAAAGAGTAGTCTCCTCCCCCTTTTGACTATTTTTTTCCTCCTTCCTGGTGTTTTTCCTTGAAGCCCCTTGGCTATTGTCCACCTTTCCTTTTGCATAATAAATATATGTACTTTTTTACCTATATGTTACCTATTAATTATTCAACATTAAAAATGCATGTTTTTCTTACAATTTATTGTATTTAATCTTTATTAACGTTAAAATTATTTATTTAAAAAATTGTCAAACCAACAGATGCTAAACCTTAAGGAACAATGTAATTTTGAAAGGGAGAAGGGCGTTGGTAATTTACTAGTGCAAGAACTTTGCATACAAGATATTTCACCAAAGCAAAGTTTGTGAATGTTGAAAGATCCTGACTCGTCTCAATGCAACTTTACTGCAATGAGGCTGCTGAACAATGAACGATGCATCTTTAGGAGTTTATATATAAAAACTAAAAGAGGACTACTGAACCATAAATGCCTAACAAGACTGTTTACAAATTTTGTTCTAGTGTAAAAAATGACTGCTGGATGAAGAACCCCCTAAAATATTTTAAGAGGCAAATGAAACCTTAATCTTTTCCATTTACTATTTACCAATAAAGGGTGCAAACCTAGTACGTGTTCCGCCATGAAATCGTGCCTTGTTAGTATGCCCACCACTGGTGTTCCCTGCAGTAAAAACATGAAGCATTATGTAATAATAAAAGAATTAGGAATCAAGATTGAGGGAAATAGACATGGTAAAATTTCTTACGTTAGACGTTTTGGGTATGACAAGAAGGTGCCGCAAGCCCATTTCAAGGAAAAGTGTGCTTGCCTTAGCAAGTGACATTGTCTCCACAACCGTGTACGGTGAGGCGTTGGTAAAAGGGTGCAAGTCCAAGAACATTTCCATCTCTTCATGGGTTAAGTTTATGTCTCCTATCCTGTCAACCTTACCTAAGCCCTTCTTTGCAAACTCATCTGCTGAGAAATGCATGAAGGCCTCAACACCTATCCGCACAGGGGTGCGCAAGAAAGATCTCTTCTTTAGCAGTGTAATAAGATGAGCACGGAGGATCAAACCATACAAAACTGGGGATTCGGAATGCGGAGGTTCGTCGATAACCGGAAACCCATGATGATTTGTGGTCTTGAGGATGTGTACTACATTTCCAACCTTCTCAATTCCGTGACAGAGCTGAAGCGGACCAGAGACAACATCAGCGACTGTGAGCTGTCTCATATAAGGTTCAGCATGAGCTTTTAGGTAAGGAAAACCCTTTGCCTTCATTATAAGGTCATAAATGTTTCCATTAAAAGCATCAGCTACAGTTTTGGAAACAAGAAGAACAATCATGATCATTGGTAACAGTAAGAGGTTATTGGTCAATTCCAAGATTATGACACACAAGAGACTGTCATCCTCATAGACCCACCCAGAAATGAGGCCGCCCCAAGCACAGCATAAAAACCGTGATTAAGGTTTGAGTGAGAACCAAGTAACATTCCAACGAAGCGCCCATAAGATGCTCCAGTAACTATGACTGGTACAAAAGACCCGCTGGAGCAACAACCCCGGAGCTAACAATACTTAGAAAGAAGCAGGTGACAAAGAATATGAGCATTGTTGAATGCTGAAACTCAGAGTCAGTATTCCTGCTGAAAAGATTTCTGATAGCATCATCATTTGTGTTGAAAATGAGGCTTGCAAGATCATTGTAGTGACCAGGAGGGCATTGAAATTTCTTGTAGTTACCAGATCGACCTATTGTGGGACAGGCTTCCGCTGTATCGAATGGGCATGGTTGGCAAGATGCGAGCCATGGTAATCCAAAAAGCAAACAAGATGTAAAAATGGAAATTGCACAAGCAATAAAGATCTTGTAAGTATTGCTTTTCCTGAGATGAGAAAGAGAAGGGGAAATAAGGAGAATGACCCAGTAAAGAATATTTTTGTCAGGTACTAGAAATGGTAATTGTAGCAAAAAAGAAAGAAAATATGAAAATAGAACTTACTCATTGATGATGGCGTAAACTCGGAGAACCTTATCTAAAAGGAAGTTGTAAAGACTTCCCAATATGCCCCCAACAACTCCAAGAAGAAGTACCGGAGGAACATCGGCTATGTGATACGAAATGTTAGCTGAATACACATCAAACATTATCAAACCCCCTTTACCAAATAGCCCACACTTGCCACTTAAACAGACATCAATTAGAGCTCGTAGTATGACTGCAACCACAGCAGTCGTAAAGAAAGCTCTCCAAAGGAGGCCACTCGTCCACCTGCAGAACAAAACCAGACATCATGAGAACCCTGTGATTGTCGAATGAAGTAGCTGCAGTAGATATTGAAGAGTAGTTCTTCCAACTATTATAAACAAGCAAATATGGGTGTGAGAAGTTGTAGAGTGGCAGAGGACAGAAACAGATAACATGGATATAATAAAATGTATTAAATTAGGAACCATGGAGCATGGAGACTATCTTGATAAATGTTGAAGAAAACAATGATTCATAGTATTAAAAAGTTAGCTACAGTCGAGCAACTGTACTCGAATAATGCAAGCAGCTAAAACGAGAAGACTGACCAATATCCAGTAACACTGTAACACCCAGTACAGTGATGAAAGGATGGTTAATAAGAAATCAACATGGTTCATCAAATGCAATTATCAATTTACCTACCAAGATGCCATTTCTTCAAGAGCAAACAGCACACCTCCAACTGGGGCGCGGAAAGCAGCAGCAATTCCAGCTGCTGATCCGCATGTTACAAGATCTCGTCGGTCTCTATCGTTCTTAAAGAATCGAAGCCACTTCCATGTTAAACCATATCTTCTGGACCCACCCTGTCCCAATAATGATGCAATGCATGAACCTGTATGCACCATAGGACCTGCTTTTCCAACCAGAAGAGATGATGACACTGCAGAAATACTTCCAATAATCTGCACATTTCGCACAATTATCACAAATTCTGCGTCCAATCGACAGAAAAAAGAGAAATTTGTTTCTAATGAATTCCTGATTACTCTTGACTGAAAATGAAAACAAATTATTTGTAAAACTTAAAGTTGCAATATCCTATATGTAAGTAATTGCTTATTCACTGTATCTGCATCGGAGGAGTTTGCAATTGAAAGTTTTTTCAAATATAATATTATATAATACCTTAACAATACAAGTTCGTAATGAAATTATTCCCGGAGCATCTACGCCATTCAAGTAAGCCTTTACTTCAGGTATACCAGAGCCAGCCGCTGCTGGCGCAATAAACGTCGTAATGATGGCAGCAAATAGAGTTAAACCCAAATTGGATAGAGAAAACACTAGAAACGCCGTCTCGTACCTACAACAAACAGCAATATAAGAATATCGCTATAGGGAAAGCAAATAAATTTTCAAGCAGAGATAGAGACCTTCCAGCTAACATCATGTTAGATGTGATGACGAACTTAACGCCGGCCATGTTCTCAACGGCTAGATTATTACAGAAACCAACGAGACTGACGATACCGCCAATCAAGAAACAGAGAAGCCACTTCATGAAAATATATTGAAAAATCTGGATCTTTCCGCGTGTCCTCCAGTCTTGTTTGAAGAAATCATTCTCAGCAATCCTTAAAGAAGAAAACACAGCGAAACGATTAAAAACCGAAATCTAATGACGGAAAATACACATGATAATCGGGTAAAACGGATGGCTTACTCGTAGTCGAGGCTTTCGATGGGGCAGAGATTGACGCCTACGATGGCGACCTGAGAGGTGGAATTAGTGGATCGATGCTGGCCATTTAGTAATGGACTGGTGAGAGACTCGTGGTCATAATCTTGATTCGGATCCTGGCTTTGGGTTTGCTCCGGGGAACATTCTCTGACATGGCGGCGCTCTGGGCTGCTGTGGAACGTAAAAGCTGAAACGAATATAAGGATTTCGATTCGGAATTAAATTAAAAGAAATAGTAAAACAAATAGAATATTGCTCCAGCAGATGAGATTCAGGAGAGAGAGTTTGAGATTGAGTAGAACTCCGCTGGAGCAGTGATGGTGTATTTTATTTTGCTCTTCTAATTTCTTTTCTTATAGTATGACTATGATACGTGAAATTAAATTGCTAAAATAAAAAATAATAATAATAACTGGGCCAAAACGGGGCCAGTGTGATCCGTTGTGGTGTTGAAGACAAACAATCAGAGATGCATACGCAGCAGACAAACCCTTCAAGCGTCAACCTCCGATATTGGAAACTTCGTGTTTAGGACCTGTGGGGCTGGCTCCAGGCGCCTTCCTTTCGCGACGTCTTTCTGCTGACAAGTCCTAGGGGAGAGTCTAAGAAAGGTCGTCTAACTTAGGATTGGAAAAAATTACGAGACCTGTGGGGCTGCCTCCAGGCGCCTACCCTTTGCGACGTCTTTCTGCTGACAAGTCCTACGGGAGAGTCTAAGAAATTTAGTCTAATTTAGGATTGGAAAAGATTATGACAGAAAATATTATGAAATCATAATATTTTCAGTTTCACGTAATTTAGAATGATAAATTTTTTAATATTTCTCTGTTGAAAAGTTTTATAATATTTTTGGTTGTTAACTTAAAAATATTATTTTTTATCAAATATTTTTGGTTGATAATAAAAAATATTAACATTTTATGTTATATTCTACTGTTGGTTGCACCCATTTTTTTTTTTGTTGTTTTTTAGTCTTAAATTAGGTTGTCATACGCAGTGACAAACTCAGGAATTCAAAAATGAATACACAGTGACAAACTCAGGAATTCAAAAATGGGAGTTTAAAATTTTTAATATTTTTTCCAAAAAAAATGAATATACAAAATTTCTTTTTTTTTTCTCTCACCCTTAATATATTGAAATATATTTTAATCACTTAACCAAAATAGTAAGTATGTGCTTGATCCTTAGGGTGTCAAGTGCATTCGCCCCTGGCCGTAGGGTATAACTACCCCAAGTCCCACCTATCCTTTTCTCTCACAACTCTCATTCTAGATGTCTAACACCAATCTCATCTGCTGATATATTCTAAAATATTTTTTTTAGAATAAACACTTTATATATATATATATATATATATATATATAATTTTATAGAGAGTAAACATAATCATTAAAATATATAATTATTCAAAACAGTCAGATTTTAGGACAAATATATGTCCACTATTAAACCTTAATAGATCTGTCATTGGTCTCACTTGCATTCTCTTTCTTTTTAAAATAAAATAAAATAAGCTTCATTCGACATGTTTTTATAACCTTTTTATTTTTTTTAATCATCTGATCTCGATTATTCTAAATATAATTTTGTAGAGATTCACTATGACAACTTAATTTATTACATTCATAAACATTAATTAATATGTGACCTTATAATCCAATTTGTAACATTTTTCATGATTAAGGGTAAATATATATTTTAGTATTTAAATTTACTTTTAAGATATAATTTAGTATTTAAATTTTAAGTATCAAATTATATCTAAAAAGTTAATTTGAAGTATTAAAATATTAATTTATATTTTAAAATTTTAAAATTTTAAACATGTGATTAAACAAATATAATATTTATTGAAAAAATCAAAAGCGATAGGACGATATTGTTAGGGTATATTAAAAAAAATCATTAAGAGTTGGTAAAGTATACATATTCTAACACCGAGTGGCACATTATTTAATATGTAAAAAAAAAATACATCTGTCAATAACTCTGTTGTTTGCTGAAAAAGATTAAGATTATGTCGAATTTCAAAGCCTAAATTAGGGTTCAAACGGATAATTCAATTATCGACCTAATGAAATTTTATTGACTGATATTTTTAATCAGTAATCGAACTGAACGTTTTTTTCTAAAAATATTAATTGATTTGAGTAAAGCTTGGTTATTTCGATAGGTTAATCGAATTAACCAAAACTTTTTATATATTTTTAATTAGATTTATTTAAATATAATATAATTATTTTTTATTTAGATTAAAATTTAATTAGGTATTAATAATTCAATGAGTTTAGAGTGGTAAAAAATAATATATATTTATTATTTAATAATTTCGATTAATTAACTGATTTGGAATTGAATTAATCATTTACTGAATATTGAAAAAAATATTAATCGTTATTCAACCGAACTAATCTGATGATCCTACCGAATTAATCAAAATAATTTGATTCGATCGATTAATTCGAATAAAACTGAATAAAAAACCCAGCCTAAATTGTCTTCCCACTTGGAAACCTTCACTTACCGCGAAACAAACCAAATAAAAAAAAACAAAGGACAGATAACCTAATGTAACCGTAAAAATAATGATACACGAAAGAGACTTGATTTTTGCGTTCAATTGAGAGGTAATTAATTGTCTCACAAGCACTAATTGTAAGTTCCTTTTAATTTTAAATATATATTTACCGTTCATGTAGTTTTTTTAGTTTTTCTTATTTACTTGTTTGGAATGAGGGAAAATCATTAAAGTAAGTAATCCACGCATGCATTGGCTACATTTGATTCGCAGGCAGGGTCTCACATGATGGGGAGGGGAAAAAATACAAAATTTGTTTGATTTTGATGTAATACCCAATTAATGCAGAAAGCAGCTTACGTACTACTCTAATATACCCCCACAGATTTCAATATTATATATTTCCACCAAAATTTCTTTCTTTTTCTGAATATTTGAAGGCACTTGAGTGTTTCATTCAATTTTTACTTTCTGAAAAGTTAACAGCTATATCTCTCCTACTTCCATTTTATATACGGACAATGGTTTTTTTAAACAAAAAATATAAGTAATTAAAATTTATTTGTCCATATTTTTTGTTATTTTAATTGAAAAGGATTAATACAATATATATATATATATATATATATATATTTAAAATAGACCATCATATTAACCAATCATTTTTCTTAATATCATTAAAAAGTATAAATTAAACACTAAATAATAAAAGAATTATATTTCTTTCTATTACCGAGGTTACTTAAATGGATTCATTGCATTGAAGTGATTAATGTGTCTATTATGGAGTAATCATGATAGTTTTCCTTTTCCTTTTAATATCCATCAAAGACTTGCATAATCAACTGGGATAAAGGAATTTCCTGATGCTAAAAAAACGCTACTGAAAGAAAAATAAAATAAAATGTGTTCTAATTGATGGAAATTGTTGGACCAAAGAATGAACGGATAAAAATGGTGATTAATAAAAAAATTAGAATAAATTATATATTTAGTACCTAAATTATTAGTTTTGATTCATTTTAATACTTAATATTTTTTTAAATCATACTTAACGTTTAATTTTTATTTCATTGTAATACATGTTAAAAAATTTAACGTTAAGTTTTGAAGAATTAAAAGTTTATATACTAAAACGGATCAAAGTTTATAGTTTATGTACTAAAACTTATCAAAACTGATAGATTGAGTACTAAACGTATTAAATTTTTTTATGGTAGATTATTAGAATGAAACAAAAACTAAACGTGAAATATGATTTTAAAAAAAATAAAAATTTAAATAATAAACAAATCAAACCTGATGATTTATATATTTAATGTGAAGTTTAACCCACAAAAATAAATTGAGATTTCTTGGAAGCTCTGTTTTGAAAACCGGACCGGATCGGCCGGTTCAATCGGGAACCGTTGTTTAGTCCGGTTCAATCTAAACCGGTTGAACCGCTATTAGTGAACCGACCAGAATTGCTGAACCATTCGAACCGGACCGGCTGAAAACCGGAAAAAATCGGGAAAAACCGGGATTTTTGTTTTTTTTTTAAAAAAATTAAACCAAACAACGTCGTTTGTTAAACGAGCCAAGTCGAACTCGAGTATTGATGAGCTCGACTCGAACTTGAAAACTTTAAAAGTAAGCTCAACTCAACTCAAACTCACAAGTTAAAAATTATCAAGTTCAACTCAAACTCGAAATATAATATTGAAACTTGAACTCAAAAAGGCTTGAACTCAAAAAAAATTTAGAAGCTCGATTGAAGCCTAAAATTCGAGCTTGATTGAAGTGAAAGAATAGTTCACTCAATGCTCACCAAAAGGCTCCATGATTTTGAATGCCAAATTACCTCTATTATTTATAGAAGTTAGTTGTGATGCGCTTCTATGTTTCTTAGCAATGTGAGATTGTTTTGTTCTCATATTTTTACTCTTTAGACTTTTGGGATGCTCTTCTATGTTTCTTAGCAATGTGGGATTGTTTTTAAAAAAAAAATTAAACCAAACAATATCATTTTGTTATGATTTTTTAACCCAAAATTTATTTTTTAATTATAGTTATATAATTATATTTATTATTTAATATGTTTTACCTTAAATATTATGTTGTAGTTAATTTGAATCATTTTGTTTCACTTGATTTTATGGTTTTTAACTTATATATGTTATGACTTGCTTTGAATATGACTTGTGATATAAAAATTATTTTTTATTAAATATTTTTGGTATTTTTATTTAATTTTTTAAATAATTATGACGTCGTCCGGTTATTTCGACCGGTCGGAACGGTTCGACCGGTTGAACCAATGAACCGGTAGCATGACCGGTTCGCTAACAGGTCCGGATCTGAAAACCATGCTTGGAAGCATCTAATTGCGGAGAAGTTGTTGCCTTTTCAGTTAATGTGGGTCTAGCAAAGGGCAACGTACCAACATGGGAAATGAGTGATGATCAAACAAGAAAGGTAGGTGGATTTTTCATGACAAAATTACAACCAATGCATCTTCCCCTGTCTTGTTCATTCATGGTTCCAACGGTAAAGCCACTATTTTTTATTTTCTCTTTTGAATAAACACACAGAAAGAAAACATAATTCCCAAATTAGTTCCTTAGCTTAGGAAGTAGCCAAAATAGCCACGTGCCAAACTGTTCTCAGGAATTTCCAGTCACGCTATAATTTTGCATAATGAAAATTAAAATATCA